AACCCAAATGTTAGGCCCGATGGGGCGTTTTGTTTGGCCTGTAATGGCACCTGGCCTGTAGTGGCACCTGGATTCACTTTGCAATTTAGTAGGTATGGGTAAGTTTATGCCGCGCAGCCGACCATCGCGTTTGGAATATCCTCTTATACCGATATTGCCATTCTGTATGAGCTTGCTTTTTTCAGTTTCCCGTTGTCGTTTCGTTCACCTCGTGTTTTTGTTTTTCAGATGTTCTAATTTCCGGGATTTGGAGCGACGCGGCTGCCTTGGAGGACCCATTACTACGCAGCTTGGTTCCAGATCTTCTTGATTTGCAGTTGGGATCCAGGGCCCCGTCTACCTTAACCAAGTACAAGTCAGGCTGGTTGAGATGGCGCGGATGGGCATCCTCGAAGATTGGTGTTCCTGTCATTCCGGCAAAGCCCTTGCACATTGCACTTTTTCTTACAGAACTTACGAACGTTTGCCTTGCGAACAATACGGGTGTCTCCCCCATAAAAGCTGTTGTTTATGGCATTAAGTGGGCCCACTCTATGGCTGGGCTTGAAATATGTCCTGTCAACCATCCCCTTGAGAAATCTTCTCTTGAGGGCGCGAAAACAAAATTGGCGCGTCCTGTTAACCCGAAGGAGCCTTTATCCGTAGACACGCTGCAGGAAATTGCCGAATGTTATGTTGCGAGTAATTTTCTTGCCACTCTTCGTTTTTTGTTCATATTATCAGTTGGTTTCTATGGGTTTTTTCGTACTGATGTTATTAACAGTTTTTGCCTTAAGGATGTGACCATTAATGCTGACCACATGTCTATTTATGTCTCCAAGCGAAAAAATGACCATTATCGGGAGGGTCACAGCTCTTATCTTGCAAGGTCTGGGAAATCTACGTGCCCAGTTTCATTACTGAGCGAATTATTCAGGTTTTGTCGCAGTCTAATTCATCGCTTCCGCTTGTTCGTCGTATTGTMAAGTCCAAATCTGGCGAGTATTTCCACGCTAGCAAGGGCGTGTCTAATTCTACTCTCAGAGAGGAATTCAAGAAGTACATCCGGCCCTTTGTTAACTACGTTTCAAAGTACGGCACGCATAATATGAGGTCTGGTGCAGCGTCGAACGCCGCTTGTAGGCGCATACCGGGCGATTTATTGGAAATGCATGCTGGGTGGAGGTGTCCTTCCTCGAAGAACAGATACATTAAACATACAATTAAAGATCGTTTAAGCGTTTCAAAATCGCTTTTGCTCTGAGGGTATACTTCTATTTGCCGTTGCCTAGAAGTCCTGGCGGGGGACATAAGTGATGCCTGGCCCGTCTCAGATTTCCTGTCCTGTGTTTTCCCTACAGGGTTTTTTGAGACAGGTTTTTTTCTGGCCCCACTGGCTCGCTTACTCGCAGTTGACAGATCCGGTTACGATTATAATCATATATCTCAATTGTAGTTCAGTAAACTGATTGATGGCGTTGCTCGCAGCCCCCATCTGACCCCCTTAATGAATACTTCGCACCACTCGACCTCTTAACAATAATATTTTCGGACAGTTCTGGTAGCAAATCATTGTATGCACCGTGTACTACCGTAAACAGTTTGGTCTTAGAAATATAATCTAAGGAGTGCCATTTAGCTTTCTTCAGAGAGTCATCATGGGAGGTGTCTTTCTCTAAATTATTTTATAACTTTGCCTCTCGGCTGTGAAGTTTTTCAATCGCCCCAAATAACTCAAGATTACAACAGCTTGCCCACGTAACAATACTATAAGTGACGCCAGGAAGAATAACACTGAAATAAAATTGCTCCAATACGCTTTTGGGTAAGAATCTTGATTTTCTTAATAAGTTATTTGCGAAACTCTTTTTAACATTCATCAGATGTGGTGACCATGTTAAACTTCCATTGACAGTTACTCCTAATAAACGCGATCTCTTAACCCAATTAACATAAAAGTCTCCCATAGTAACAGGTAAAATAGGGCCTATGATACGTGTCTTAGATATCAGCATAGCTTCACTCTTTTTCGGATGAGGTGTAAGCTTATTGGCAAGACACCAATCACATTATTCAAATAATGCAATCATATAATTCAAAACGTGCCCGTTATATTAGCCAGCTAATGGCATTATCTTTTGCGGCCTGAAGTGGAGGTCAGAGTACAATATCCTCCACTACACATGCATGCTCATTTTATTTCATTCCTGTGATATGAGCCGAATGTAATGAATCAAACCTTGGTTGGTTAGGTTGCATTTCTTTGCACAAATTGTTAAATAAAAAACTTTGCTAAGGATTTTTTATCTGAGGGATGATCAGTGGGGACTCCAGCCATGCAGATATTTACATTTCTTCATCGAACCTTAAATGGATAATTAATTTTGTATGTAACAAACCAGTTCGACAGCAACGCCTCAAGGGAGCTTCTTTAAAGAGTATTGAAATAAGCCATTCTCCAAAACACCTTAAATATACCGTGGTTAATCATTTCCCAATCAACAGGTTCCACCCTCTACACAACCTCGCAGTACGTGACTCATCCATTCAGAAAAAGGCATTTTTCAGTTTTATACCATGTTTGCAAAACATCACAAAATTTAGATGACTTTTTGAAGAATCTTTTTCTTCAGTGTCGTCCACATTCAAATTTCCGAACCTGTCCCTTTGCAAAAACTCTGGGTTGGGGTAACCTATACCCTAATCCTAACCTAGTTAGTAAATAAAGAAATAAGTAATACGTGAATAATAAAACAAAACCTAAAGTTTCGATTCGAATATTTTGTTGCTGAGAGCAATCTTCTAAAGCGTTCTCACAATATTTCAAAAATTATTGGCCGTGTTTTCACGACGCCGGTTGTCTCGCTTAACATTCCTAAGGGTGTTATGTTTACAGACTACGTTAAGCGAGTTAAAAATAGGTCCGCAATGCGCAACCTACTTCGTGTAAATTTAATTGGTCTCTAGTGAGATTTATTGTTGCTGAGCCTACCAGTAGTTTACATTTTGTACTTGAGTTATTACTCTTGCACTAGTGATACATGAAAAGGGCACCTAGTTGTTTTCAGCCGATCAAGAGTGTAATTTGTCATGTATATCAGTATTGTGATGAATTAACCAAAACCAAACAAGCAACTAATCAAAGGCTCTGTGAGCCAACTCGTAAATTGGATAAGCCAATGTAGTTTGTGTCGTCAATAATAATGGGTGTTTGATTTCCATATTAAGGTATGAATCGTTAGACTGGTAAATGAGCATTATGAGGAATATGATGTGAAACTAAATTAGGCCTCAAAGACAGAAAATATGGCCTGATTAGGATTTGGTGCAAGACAATCACTGTTTCAGATTTTACTGTAAAGGTTTGTGGAATGAAAGTTCAAAAGGGTGCTGTTTTGTTTATCATAAAACTATTGTTCCAATATTGAGCTCAGTATTTACTTGCGATGCAAGCATAGGGATAGGCATGTAAAAGCTTATACGCTGGATGGAACGCACGGACATAAGGATAAGCATATATGCATAAGATTATCAAAACGTTGCCTTCTTTTTATGC